GCTCGGGGGCGAGGCGCTGCCCGACCCCCCCGTCCGCGGCCGCCTCGCCTCGACGGGTCGGGTCTTGCCTCTGAGGTGGGCTTTATTGAGGGCGCTGGAGCCGGTGCTGCGCAAAGAGTAACCTGGCAGGCTGGGTGCCTGCTTCCTGGGTAGTGGTGAAATAGTGGCGGGGCGATCTCGGTGTAAGCGCCGGTGAATAACAGGTGAATAAAAGGAAGTCTCCTCCCTCCCCGTGGCGTGGCTGCGTTTGGTTTTATGAATGCTGGAGGTGGTTGTATATCTTGTATGTCTGTTTAAAAGAAGATATTTTATCTTAGCCCTGTCCAATGTGTAACACGAGGAAAATTCCTCTAGAATGCAACCCCACGCAACACGCTTTTAAGAAGATTTTACTAGATGACTTTGAGATCTAACCTGCTTTTCCAGTGTTCAGATCATTCCAACTTAGAGGTCAAGGGAGTGACGGCAATAGCGCTGTAGTCTAGAAGCCCAGCTGCAGCAAGCTTTCTGCTGGTCTGGAGCATTTTGAGCGTTAGTGAAGGATTATTGAAAAAGATGTTGGGTAACTAACTGGGCAAAGTGGAATCTCTGCCCACTCTATAGTGGAAGCAGAGGGTGAGGACAGAGGACATGGTTTATAAATAATTTACCACAAAGTGTCCGCTTAAAGGAAGGAGTGAGAGAACGCTGGTGGAGAATGTCAGGACCTCCTGAATGCACCTATATGCGCACCCTGGCTAAGTATCGCTTAATAGAAAAAGAGGGATAACTGCAAGTGATTAAAATATGCATTGTGCTGTGATGAACAAAATAATGTCCCCTAGGTTTTGCAGTCATCCTGAGCCACTTTGTGGTTTGAACCAAACATGGTGTTTGGTACCATGTTTGTAAAAAAGGGCCAGCTTCAACAGTTTCAATGATGAGTCAAAATTTCTAAGATGGGTTTTCTAAGATACAAACAAAGGTGTATTTCTTTTAATTTTTTTTTTCTTTCTCCAGATGTTTCAAGGAACCAAACTCACAGGACCTGCGGCTGGGCTGAGGACAGTTGATGTAAGTACAGTTCTGCATGAATTCTAGAAAACAGAAGCAGTTACTTCCCCAATTTCAAAACTGAGATTATTTGTTGAATTATTAGCTTAATGCAGTTCAGTAAATAATTGTCTTAGACATCTGTGGTTCAGAAATTCTAATGGGCATTATGAAAGGCAATGATGTGATACATAGTATCACATAGTATAGCATACTATATATAGTATATATACTGTGATATATATAGTATATCACATACATAGTATTTCCCATATGCACAGCTGCCAGTTTGCCTGTGCTAAGTACCAAAGTGAATGTGCTTGAGAGAAACATGGGGAAAAAAGGCTTGGGGAATGTAAACAAGATGCTAGATGGGCCAGCTGCTTTCTCAGTACAAGGAAGACATTCATCCCATTTATATGTGTACTTTGCTCCCAAAATTTGTTTCTAAGCTATGTTCAGCTTGCACTAGAGAGCTCGTTCACCTGAACAATTTCAAAGCATCTGAGGAAAGGTACTTTCCAAGAAACCCTTGGAACAGGACAACAATAATCCTCTCGGTGTATCTTCTGCACTTCCAAGCAGCTCTTCTCCTCCAGGTCACCTCTGCTAGACTGTATCCTTACTGTATGGAGGAATGCAAGTTCTTGTAGTCTGGGGGTTTTCTTTTTCTAAAGCAATGTCTTTACATTGATCCTCTACTCTGATTTCAGTACGCAGATATCCTCTTTCATACAGCCATTGCTTGTGGACTTGGAAAGCAGGAACATATTTTACATCTTGTATAGCATTGTAAACAATCATTTCTACTTTAAGGTTCTAGCTGCTCTGTATGAGTTGTGCCTTGTAATGGTGTGGTGCAAGAAATCCTCAAATTCTTAATCCCGCAGGAAATGCTGAAAACATGACGACGCCACATGAGAGCTCTTAAATGGGCTATGGTTATTTCCAGTTATATGCATTTTTTTGAATAATTTTTCAAAAATTATGGTGATGTGATTCAGAAATGCAGTGATGTTTTTCCCAAAGGTGTTTTTCAGGACGTTGAAAGGAAACTGCAACTCTTTAATCACGTTTATACCATCCGTAATTCTTTGTTAAGAGTCAACAATTGCTAAGTCTAACCTGAGACTTCAAAATTGTGTTTTCAGTGTTCTCAGCTATACTTTTAAAGCCAACAGTGTATTCCGTCTCTGAACAGTGCCAAAAGCTAAACCCTACCCCCACCCCAAAACAGTGTGTGAAATGACAGCAAATTGCTGCTGTATTTCATTTTATGCTGGCCAATGGCTGAAGTCACATGCAGAGAATAGATTGTAGGAGTAATACACTGCTTGAAAATGCTGTCATACACATTGACAAATATCAGCCACATGGAAAATTATTTTTGGAAAAGTTATCTTTGTTGATAACTTTATCTGACAGTAAATGTTTTTTCAAGGAAAGCCCAATACTGAGTAAGGAAAGAAATTATTTTGGATTAATTTGTCAATATTCTGTAAATTTAGTCACAGGTTCATCAATATGAAACTTCTTTGGAAGAAGTTTGTCACTTAGCATTAACATCTTGAACTTGTTCAGTGCAAGAAACTTGAAACTTTTAAAGATTTCTGTGGTTAGCAGTGTGGCCGTAGGACCACACATCATCTATTCTGTGGTACATAGCTCTTCATATACAGGCTCTTATCTCAAGTTAAAAAAAGCTCAGCAAACCCAAGTAGTCTGAAGTACTTATGCCTCTACTGACTGAAATATCTTCCTTGCCTACTTTCAGGGTGAATTTTTAAAACTGTCTCCTTTGGAAAGTATGAAATGTAAATGTCCAGCTAAACAGTTAGCTGAAAATCTGAAAAACCTCCATAATAGTTACCAGTTGATCACCAAGTTGATCACACTACGTGTACTGACCAACTCTCTCTGAATGACTTTTTTGTTATTTGGCACACCAGTTTTTCCTCTGCTTTGGTATTATTCTTTATGCGTTCTCTTAAGAGGAAGTGGTAATCCACATGATCAACACAGGTAAATATTTGCTTTATTCTCTGCTAAGCGTGTCTGCTGCATAACCACAGCAGATGATCTGTGGTTATGATTGCAAACTTTACAGCTTCTGTGAAGCTTGGTATCTAACTTGTCTGATATGAATAGTATGTATTACAGACAAGATATATACATGTAAAAAACTTCATGAAAATTAATTTGTCCTTAGTGACGGTTTAGACAAATAGTTGATATTTCAGTTATGTAACAGAATACAGATGCTAACATCTCATCATACAGAAAGTTGTTTTTTTCCGTTCCATTTTCATGATGAAATAACTTAATTGTTAAAGACACATGAAAATGGAATTAAATAAAACATAATTAACAGTGTGCTTTCTGCAAAGCTGCTTTTTTTCCATTAGAGAAATGTTAGCCTACACAAAATAATATTTTGTTGGTAAAGTCCAAGACCTGAGAACTTGTTTTCGTACTAAACAGGGATTAAAAACTGTTAATATTGATATTCTTATGTGTAACTGTAACTTCCAAAATACTTCACTTTAAACTGTGGGCTCAATTCACTGGCTTTGACTTTGTTTAATGATGGTACATGTCTCAATGAACACAAAAGTGACTTTGTTTAAAAGTGAGTGTAAAACAACTGTCCTATAGTAAGGCTACTATAGTACAAGCACTGTCTACAGGGTAACCAGCAGCCACTTGATCACTTACATAAAGAGATCAATAGCCTGGAGATATGACAGTAGATTACAATGTAAGAGGAGGATGATTTAATCATATTTAGATAATAGTCTTGCAGAACACTATCTGTGAGAAGTTACATAACGTAAGATTCGCTCATGACTTGGCGGGGCTCATCGAGAGGGCTTTAAACTAGGTTCGAAGGGGGAAGGGGATAAAACCAGGCTCACTAGAGATGAGCCTAGGGGTGGCATGCCAGTGCTGGGGGTGAAATTGATAGCCCAGCTCAAGTGCATCTACACCAATGCACGCAGCATGGGCAGCAAACAGGAGGAGCTGGAAGCCATTGTGCAGCGGGATAGATATGACTTAGTCGCCATCACAGAAACATGGTGG